GCTGTCGCCGTGGTTCCCTAAAGTCTACCAAAGCCCCCGTGCTTTAAGGTTACCGAAGTTTATTAAACTCCCTCTCACACAGCCAGAGGGGTTACAGATGTGGTGAGCTGTTAAAGGTCAGGGAAGACTTTTGAACAAGGAAGCCAAAGGCGTCCAGCAGCCTGGAAATTGAGGACAGATCACATTGCAGTCCAGACCTGAGTAAGCAGGGTACAAGTTATTCCTGTGACAAAATCTTGGGTATGCAGTCTTCACCAGCACCCCGAAGTTTGTCAGGTCCAAATTGTCTTTGAGTGGCAATGAACTGTAGGTGCTTCAGCTCAACTTCTATGAACCTGGTGAGTTCTAAAGTTTGAAAGGAATCTGTCAAGATATCACAATCTGATTGGCAATAAACTCCCTGCCATACTTTCTCAAGGGTTTCAAAGTCCTTGGGCAAAACTACATTTTTCTCTAGGGTACCTATAGAGCATTTTTTTTCTAAATCCAGGTAACAAACTCCAAAATAGCAATTAATCAAAAGGTAGAAAACTAGTTCTTGTTAGTAGGTTATGTTAGCTAAGTTAACTAAGTTAGACTACAAGTTTTGTGGTTTACTATTTGGTCAAATATTTCTTTGAATAATTGGGAAACAATATGTGTTTCTGTCTGTTGTTTTACAAAATTATAGTCTGGACATTTGTATCACTGGCTATGAAACTAAGCTCTTTGAACTTAGATCTTTGATTTAGATGTTCATCCAAGTACATCAGTTGACTGACTCGTAGTGATGTCAACCATTCTGACGGGCTGTTGCTGCTGCTTGGGAAGACTTACAGAAGAAAATCTTGTGGGTTTTGTATTCTCATCGTTGTGTATAACCCAATTCAGTGCTATTATTACCCAAAAGGCAAACAAATAAATCCTTTTTACAAATACTAGACTGGCTTTAAAAGATCTTTGATTAGATATGTTTGCAAGGATTTTTCTCTGAAAGATGATGAAAGAAAATTTCCTCTTGATATTTCTCTGGTGTGTGTGTGTGTGTGTGTGTGTGTGTGTGTTTGTAAAAGGCTCACTGGGCAATGCTCCAGGTTTTTCAGAAAGCGCTTTGTGTTCTTCCTTTACAAAATCAGGAAAAAATTACCGGAGTTACTCTTGAAACACTGCTGCTGTTGATGCCAACAAATAGGTGTTGCATCACAAGATGAACATGCAGCCCCAAAGAAATCATTGGATCTAGTTGTTGTTTGAAATACAACTTTATGCAGACAGAAAATGCAAAATAAGTTACGAGTTGAGTTGTACGCAGTGCACACGAACAAAGTTTGAGAACTTGAAATCCTCATCAAAAGCAAAAGCTTCTCTCTTCTTGCAGTTCTCTTGAATAAGAAGGCCGTGTCCAGCAGCTGCTTTGGTTCATTTTTTGTCTTTCTTACAGCTCTCGACACAGCGATGCCTTCATGTGGGTGTTATGTGTCTGGGGAGCAGTGGTGAATGAATAAGGGAAACAATGGTCTTCAACACCGGTTTGCAAAGCTGCCAGGGTTCTTGGGAGAGGACAGGAAATGCTAATTTAAAAATAGTTCTCCAAGCCAAAGAAGAAGAGACAAGAAAAAAGAAAAGCATTTCATTACTTAATCTATTAGGAGCCCAGTGAGGCGTGGATCTGGGCTTAGCGCAGAGGAAGCACTTTGAAGAGCTGTCAGACTCAGGGCCTCTCTCTTTCAGAACACCTCCCAAATATTTTAGAGAGAGAAAGTCCTCTCTTTAAAAATCTGCTTCAGCCAGGCAGTGGTGGTGAACACCTTTAATCCCAGTATTCAGGAGGCAGAGGCAGGCAGATCTCAGTGAGTTTGAGGCCAGCATGGTCTTCAAAGAGAGTTCCAAGACAGTCTCCAAATTCTACAGAGAAACCCTGTCTTGAAAAACCAAAGCAAACCAAAACTAACAAACAAACAAACAAACAAAAAAACTGATTCAGAGGGAAGATAACTAAGGAAGTCTCTGAATACACCATCATCAAAATCATTTCCCTAGAATGTTTTTAAAGCTCTGATTGCAAATAGGAAAACATAAAATGTCCTACAGGTTCCAGCATTTTAGATCTTGGGTTAATATCATTTATTTTTGAGCCTTTAATTACTTTTTTGGTCCAAGTTATATTTGCCCTGTCTTGCTTTTGCGTGGGAGACAGGTTCTCATGTAGCACAGTGGATTGACACTCCCTATGTAGCAGAGGATGAAGTTGAGCTTCTGGACCTCCTGCCTTCTCCTCCCAGTGTGAGTGGCTGGCATCACAGGTCTCTGCTACTGTGCCTGGTTTCATGTAGTTCCGGGGGTTGAACCTGGGGTCTTGCGCATCATAGGCAAGTGCTTTCTTTGAACGCTGCCTCTCTTGGCTCCTGCTTGGCTGCTAAGTGTGGCACACTCTCCGGCCCACCTTGGTGACAGCTTCATGTCCTTTGCATGGGAAGGTAATATTGTATAATGACTTGCTAGTTAAAAATGTTCATATTCAAGGGGATGAGTGTGAATTTGATGTGAATGTTTTTTTAAAGTAGTATGCCACCACTGAGAATACAAAATCTATAACAAGTTAGATAAATGCTACATTAAGCAACTGAGAAAACTAAATTCTATAAATAGTATTGTCATGCCTAAGTTAAAAAAAAGAGTTCTAGTCCCCTCTAAGACTTATTGAAAAGTGTGAAAGAAAGTTTATTAGTTAGGGTTGACAGTAAGTGGTAAAATCATCAGCAAAATTTTCTGTAACAGAGATGATTTTTAAACTACCAATGCGAGTTAAAATTTTCAATAATTTTCCTTTTTAAATAAAAATAATCATGATCAGATACTCTTTGGTATTTTCATAGCTTAAAGGATCAGTTCCCAAATCTAGAAACAAAGAGAATGTAGACAGAAGGCATGTTTTAGCTCACCCAATTTTATACACGTGTATAGAGTAATTAAGACATGTTTAATAGGTAAGCAATTGAGAGAACTCTTTGCTTTAGATAATGCCACATTTCAACATGTTCTAGTTTGGACAACAGAAAACACAATTTTTCAATAAGTTGTTGAAGATGCTCATCTGAGGTTCTCTGTGCGTCAGTCATCTTTGTACCTTAGGACAAGGTACCAGAGATAACAACTTAGTAGGGGAAGATTTCACATGTCTCCACCCCCAGATGAGGAGCCATCAGCAATTGACAGCTGCTGAGTGAGGGACAACCAGTCTTCTCCAGCAGTGAGCAAATGAGCCCCCCCGATAAGTGATCCAATCCCAAGGAAAATGTCAGCCTTAAAATAAATACACATACAAGGAACTCTAAATGTACTCAGTAAGTTGTCGCTCTCTCTCATCTCTCTCTCTCTCTCTCTCTCTCTCTCTCTCTCTCTCTCTCTCTCTGTGTGTGTGTGTGTGTGTGTGTGTGTGTGTGTGTGAGGAAGAGGTCATGCATTTGTGAAGGAGTGTGGGAGGAAAGAAGGAAAGAGTTGGAGCTGAGAGAGGTGGTAAAAATGACATAAATACAGCGCTCATGAATGAAAAGCTCAAAAAAATGAAAATGAAAAAACTTAATTTGTGTGTGTGTGTGTGTGTGTGTTCTTATAAGCTAAACTAGTCATGTGAGTATCAAAGGACAATTTGTGGTAGCTTTTCTCTCCTTCTGCTATGGGGGCTCCAGGGATTGAACTCAGGTCATCAGGCTTGGTAACTAACACCCTTCCCCACTGAGTCCTCTTGATGGCCCAAGGATTTCCTTTGCTCACAACTTCAGATGGTTCTCTTGCCTCTGGACAAAATGTGGTGAGGAATGTCATGACAGGATGTTTATGATGAAGCAGAGAGGCTTACCTCATGAAGACAGGAGACAGTGAGGGGAGAGTAAATGGCCGATGGCAAGACCCACCCCCTAAGCAGCCTGTTTCCTCCAGCCAGGCTTCACCTCCCGACAGCCCTTCAACACAAACTTATCAATGGATTAGTCCATTGATGAGATGTGTATCTTTATAAATCAATCGACTCGAAATATTACCCCTGGAGACCAGGCTTTCAACCTGTTAGTCTTTGGGAGTCATTTCAGACATGACCCACAGCACTGTGTTTTACCTGTGCTCGTCAAATCCCCGTCTAGGAAGAATTCTTCAGCGCCAGTTAGAGATACAGGGATGAAGCGAGCAGAATGGTCTGCCCTGGTGGGCAGCAGTGTGGGGTGTAGAACACACCCGCCCAGGTTTGAAGAGGAGGAATTCCTCTCTGTCTCCCAAAAGCTTAACGAAACTCAGTGTCTTCGCTGGCCTGGAAGAGTTTTAGTTTTGCATTGCTGGTTCGTCTGACATGCAAAGTGCAAGAGCCAAAGAACATGATAACAGTTTTCCATACGTCTGCCTGGCCAAAACTAACACAGGCTGCCAGCCGAGCACTGGAGCAGCCTGGAAGCCTTCAACACCAAGGCAAGAGCCCTGTCCCTGCATGAAGAGGATTATCAGGCTCAAACCAGCCTCGGCACTAGGGAACGGGATGTGGACTTGGGAAAAAGGTACTTCTAAAAATGCAAATAGCCAGACAGAGTTAAGAGATCCAATGGAGATAATTTGCCATCTTCTGAAGACTTCACTCCCTGCTTAGAGTTAAGGGAGTGTGGGCGGGGCTGGTACTGTGGAGGCTGGCTTTGTTTACTGATGCTTCAGAGGAAGTGCTCCTCACACCACATTGTGTTGGCTAGTTACTGGGAGGAAGTGGGGTTTTTCTTTCTTTTTCTTTTTTAGAAGGGAAATTGGGAGAGAATCTATAAGGAGAAATCTGGCGTGGCTCAGTTACTCTAAGTGACTTTCCTCACTTCTAGGTAACTTCCTCTCTGGGCTTGTGGGCAGAATTTCAGCCTCAAGACGTGTTCAGCTCTTTAATTTTTCTTGTTTGTGTGTGTGTGTGTGTGTGTGTGTGCATGCATGTATGAGTGTGTGTGGATGTATGAGTGGGCGTGTGAGCGTATGCATGTGTTTGTGTGAGTGCCTGTGCGTTGAGTGAGTGTGAGTGTATCTGTGTATAGAGAAACACAGAAAAAAACATATAAAATATAAGGACATATGACATAATCTTTTCCTCCCTCGTTTCTTGGCATCCAAAACCAGCCTAATCACCGAAGAGGGCAACGCGCTGAGAGCCATCCAATCTTCTGCCTGAGCCCAGCCTGGCCCCAGCATTCATCTCCCCCTAGTCCACACTGCTGAGAAAGGAGGGCTTCTAGCAGGAGGCAGAGACCTGTGTAAGCAAGAATAGTCCCTTAAGAAACAAAACCAAAAAGACATTTACTTAGAGTTTTAGTTTCCTTGACTTCCTTGACTTTTAAAAAATCATCACTATAGAGTGAAGGACATAATGGGTTAAAATAACATTCTTAATGTTTGAAATGTTTGGAAATGAATTTCTAAAACACAGACTGAACCTTTTGGGCAAAGTCTCAATGTTAAGTGTTATATAAAGGAGGTAATAGAAAATCTTATATTCTGTCACTGTAAATCTGCTTAACTCTGAAGAAATGCAAGGAGAAGATTGGACATAGCCAATAGGATCTCAGTGTGCCCAATAGGTTGGTTCTGCTAAGCGAATTAATCGTGGACACTTTGTGACCAGATAAACCTGAGAGTTTAGAACTGTCGAGTATGGCTCAAAGAGAGTTAGTGGGCATGGGCTTTCGCACCTGTTGCATCTAGTAATGAACAAAATGGAGTTTATGTTTTTGTTTTCATTTTTGGCAGTTTTGAAACAGTATGCTCTTCCAACATAGTTTGAGAATACTTACGAGAAAACACAACCAAGCCACGAGTGCTATTGAGCTGAAAACACGGTAAAATATAAAAATGGGGTGAAAATACAAAATGTGGTTTATACAGCAGCTAACATTGTTTATTTTCAGTCTTTCCTTACACAGAAAAGTAGGATCGGGAGAACGCTGGATATGCCCAAGCAGACAGAGACAACTTTGGATAAAACTTCATGTAAAAAGTTGTGCCCAAATTTTGGAGGGGTAAGGACTTACTATCCAACAGTTGAATATCTTGATAAACGCACAGGGAAATGTTTTCCACAGCAATTACTGTATTTCTATCCATTTGATCATCCACTACATCTGCCCATTTGTCTATTTAATGAATATTGTGTATTTACTACATTCCCAGGGCCCATCCTCTGGGTAGTCAGACACAACTCAGTGATAATATAAGAGGTTATAGCCATGCATTACCTCCCATTTAAAATTTCCCAGATACATGTGAAGATAACTTAAATGGCAGCCTTCTGGTTCCTTTGACTCTTAAGGGATCAGCCCTGTTACACTCACTTGCAGAGTATTCCTAGTCAATTAGGCTCCAACTCTGGCTTCCCCATGCAATGTGTTTGAGTGAGAAATGTTTCCCACAGTCTCAGGTGTTTAAACACCGTGTCCCCTTGGTGGTGCCGCTTGGGTGGTGTATGTGTTTACCAACATGCTAGAGCTGTAAGACATGGGGCAGGGTACATTTTCAGAGTAAAAAAGCCTTGTTCTCTGTTTTGTGGTTGCAGGAGCTCCCTGCTCTCCGCCCTGCCTGCTGCCGCTCTTCAGGCTCTAACCCTCTGGAACCACAAGTCAGAGTACGCGCTTCCTTCTCTAAATTGCTTTGTTCGTCATGTTTGATGGCAGCTACAGGAAAGTAACTAATACTCTGCCTCAGTGATACCCTGGTCTAGCTCCTACTTATGGAATGAACTGGAAGACGGCAGGGAAACAAATCCCCGGAAATCCCATCAGTGTCAGAAGTTAACCTGCACAGCGTTTGCTTACCATAAGAGCCGTTAGTTGGCTTTGAGCAAGTTGACAGGGACATGTGGCTGGATGAGAGACCCCAAGGACACTGTGACCCTACACCAATACCATTGTGATTTTAGATTAAGGTCAATAAAACAAAGGTGCTCTGTCTTGAGGGAAAAACAAGACTGAAGGGAAATTCCAGCTGGCAGAGCATAGCAGTTGTGTGATCTTTCGGGAGAGCCATGCATCACACAACCTTAAATAACAACACAACAGTTTTCTTTCATGTTGACCTTTTATTTTCTTTATCTTGATTAAAATTATATGTAATAGGCCTTTTGTTATCACAAGAGAGAAAGATGTCATTCATGATGCCAAGTTGTAAAGTAGTCTGTCGTGTTGACAGATATTGAGATACCATGGAATGGGGGGTCTAATCACTCAGTATCCATCAGCAATTAGGCTGGACACATAAACAAGAACACATGTTGAGACTGATGTATGTACTGACTTGAACAGCTAAGAACTTCCTTAGCAAGGGTTACAGAGCCATGCTCTCCCACCCTGTGTGAGCAAGGGTTACAGAGCCATGCTCCCCCACCCTGTGTCAGCAAGAGTTACAGAGCCATGCTCCCCTACCCTGTGTGAGCATGGGTTACAGAGCCATGCTCCCCCACCCTGTGTGAGCATGGGTTACAGAGCCATGCTCCCCCACCCTGTGTGAACAAGGGTTACAGAGCCATGCTCCCCCACCCTGTGTGAACAAGGGTTACAGAGCCATGCTCCCCCACCCTGTGTGAGCATGGGTTACAGAGCCATGCTCTCCCACCCTGTGTCAGCAAGAGTTACAGAGCCATGCTCCCCCACCCCCGTGTGGTATATGTGGGAGAAGCTGGGGGAGGTCAAGGAAAAATAAGCACAGTCTAAGACAGATTTGAAAAATAAGCAGTGACATCTGGCAAGTGACTTCCACGTCCAGAGGAAGGGTCTTCAGGGCAGCTAATGAGAAATGTTTTTCTTGGCAGCATGTTGGATTAATGTCTATCAGATCTGTGAATGAGCTTTGCTTGAGTTTCTGTTTCTCTTGTTGTTGGACCTAAGGCCTGATTGTCACAAGCTGCCATTCATTAGCCGTTCTCAAGCCATCTCAAGGTTTGCTCGAAAGGGATCTCAGAAGATTCTTAAGTATTGAAGACCTTACAATTATTCATTACTTAAAATGCAGTTTATATCATCTTAATGAACTCTAATATTTATATTGGAGAGGTTTATCACTGAATTTCTTCAGTTAGCATAGAGAACACTTTATTCCAATTCTAACAGTTTAATATGTTACCCTAGGCACACCAGTGTTGCATAGGTCTGTTTTAATTTTTTTGGTGCACAGTTATTCACATGAAATTATTTATGATACATCAATCTAGAATTATGTAACATGTTGTTGCATATCTCATCCCTAGATTTACAAAGGGCACCTTCAAGCCTTTTCTTACTAGGCTAGATCTATTTATTTATGTATTTGCAGGCAGTGAAAGAAGAAAAAGTATATTACATACTGAGAAAAAAAATAAAACAGAAGTTTATAAATAGAAAAACCTGGAGTCTTTTTGATCTAAGTCATATAGTGATAATTTATTTACTTTGTGGAACTCTAAAACAAAATATTAGGAAAGGTTTTCTTCACAGTGTAGTACTATTTTAGAAATAATGTAAAGAAAGCAAAGCTTGTAAATTGTATTGTGGGAATTTTGTGACTTACTGTTTCACAGAGCAAAGGGGATGGAGGGATGTGTTCCCTGTTACAGAGAAGAGCATGGGACAATAGGCTGAATGTCTACTCAAATTTCCCACCTCATTCTTTATCATTCCTTATTGCTCAATCCTTACTGTTTATGAAAACCAGATGTAGGCAAAGCGACTTAATTTTACCTGAGTTATGAGAACTGCAAGTATCCTAGTTTCAGGATTTTTATGACAACGCTGGGGATTTGTTTTGTTTTATTTTGGTTTTTAGGTGTAGGCTTTTCACATAGTGAGACCATCTGTTTCTTTGAAGCCATGCACTCCTTGATAAATACCTTTTGGAAAGCACTTCTGTATGCATGATCTACAAGGAAAGAAAACTCCTGGGACTCCCCAAGGGGGAAGTTGCATGAGTAGCAGTTATTTGAATGGCAGCAGCTCAGGAACTAAGCTCTTCCCAACAGTCTTACAAGAGGGAGAAACACAGTCACAGGCATGACACAATTTGGTCACCCTGTCACATGTTTAAGAAAAAAACAGAATAAAGAATATAATTTACAGGCAGTCTCAGTGAATAAAGGCTCTTGCTGACAATCATGACGACCTGAGTTTGATCCTCAGGACCAATATGGTGGAGGAAGAGAGTCAACTCTTGCAAGCAGTCCCGTGATCTCCTCATGTGTACTATGGTGCCTGTGTATGCACAAAGTAAGTAAATAAATATAAAAAACCAAAGTGGAAAATAGAATTTACTTCCTTGAACAGAGTCTAAAGGCATCTGGAGAAGGGAAAATCTATTTCTACCTCAGATATTTGACACAAGGACTTGGTTTTGGGTTGGCAATGAGGCACTATGAGTGCATGTGTCTAGAGGAGAATACTGGGAAGAGACAGTCTTGGCCAACATTTATTTTTAACTTAATTAACAATTAATTAGGTTACTTATTTCAGTGTTGGAGATTGAGCACTGGGATCATGCATGCTAAGCAAATACTCTACCATTGAGCTGATACTACTTACATGTATTATGTGTGTGTCACATATAATATATATATGTGAAAGCTGGAGATGCTAACTCTCTGTTGCCCTCTATTGCCCAGAGTCAACCAATCATTGCTCATCCTTCTTAGGTTTGTTACAGGAAGCTCATAATAGAGAAACCCAAAGGGATTTATTATCGTGATCTAGCACACTCTAAGTGTCTTAGTTAGGGTTTCTATTGCTGTAAAGAGACACCATGACCATGCAAACTCTTATAAAGGAAAAAAATTAACTAGGGTGACGCCTTTACAGTTCAGACATCCAGTCATTATCATCATGGTGGGACATGGCAGCCTTCAGGCAAACATGGTGCTAGAGAGTTAGCTAAGTGTCCTACATCTTACAGGCAAGAGGAAGTGATCTACTTGTAACACTGAACAAAGCTTGGGCAAAAGAGACCTTAAAGCCCGCCCCCACAGTGACACACGTCCTCCAATAAGGCCGGCCACGCCTCCCAATAGTGCCATTCCCTTTGGAGGCCATTTTCTTTCAAACCATGACACTAATGGAAAAAAAACTGGGAGAAAGGCAATGCACAAAGACATAGGAGTCAAGGCTTGTTGGTGTTCTGGAACTTCTTAATGTTCCCTGTTTTGTGGTTGACTGTTTATAGCCTCTCTATCATTCACAAGTCTACAAACTGTTAAACTTCCCAAAGAGACTTAATTTTTCTCTTGATTCTCCTCCTTTTTAACAATAGCTGATGAAATGGTAGCAAAATTCTAACTGCTACCCCACATCACTGAACAAATTATCTGGTGACAAAGTACATACATAGCAGACAAATTCTTAGGCCCGTGAGGAAGGACAGAGAGGAAGAAATTGCGTCTTCCCTAGAAGGTCAGTATGAACTCCGACAGTGGTTTGGTTTTAGCTTGATTGTTCAAAGGCCCGTGCAAGCAAAGCCAAGCTCCACAGCTTTGTAGCTATTGGGAGTGGACCCATCAGTAGGTGGAATGCCTTATTTTACATAACGCAGAAGGTGTGTCCTTGAGGAACATGAAACTCTGTTTTCTCTTTCTGTCTCTCTGTCGCTGGTTCTCAGCTACCATGGGGTTTTTACCACAGCTCAGAATCAACAAGGCCCAGAAAGCCTGTGCTGAAGCCTTTAGTAGAAACAAACCTTTCTCCATATAAGGTGGTGACATCAGTATTTTGATGTAGGAACAGAAGGCGGACTCTCTAGACTGCTCTGGCATTTGCAGGGTTCTTAAAGTTGAAATCTTGTTCACAACATCTGGAACATTCATGACATCTGGAACATAACAGCTCCATTAGTCAAGGTCAGGGCATGGGGAATATGTGAAAAACTATTTTTCTTCACCGATTTCCACTTAATTTAGCAGAAATACTAACCGTAACTTGAATCTTTTCTTTTTCTCAGAATAACAGAGACAGTTTCTTCTGTCTAAAGTACAAAGTACACCATGAAAACTGGTCCTCAAGAAACATGGAAAAGAAAAGCTTTCTTCTACTAGAAAAACTCTGAGTTTATATTTTTCTTTTTGAAAAAAAAGGTGTGCACGAAGACAATAGTCTTGAGTAATTCCCATACTCCCTTTCCGTTTCTAATGGAGGTGGCATTAAACATCTGTGTGGACTTGGAGTTCTGAGTGTTGCATTGATTACACTTCTTATTTCTTTATCGGATAGCTTTGCCAGTCATCCATTGTGTGGCTGAATGCCTCTTGCTCTTACACATACTGCAGGACACTTAAGTGTATTGGTGGAGTTTCTCTGTGTCTCAGCAGCTGCTCCCAAATAACCCCACAGAAACTTAATATTGAATATAAATTCTGAGCCTATTTATATTAATCTACATTCTGCAACATGGCATTACCCCTCTTTCATCCTGCATCCCCTGCTTCCTCTCCATATCTCACTGGCGTCTCCTCTGACTCCACCTTCTTCTTCCCAGTGTCCTTAGTCTGGCTCTCCTGCCTAACCTTATCCTGTCCAGCCATTGGCCAGTCAACTTCTTTATTAAACCAATCACAATGACACATATTCACACAGTGGAGATGAATATTCCACTAAGTGCATATGTTTCACTTGTACACTAGGTTGCATCTTCTCTCCCTCCATAGCCTGCTGGTCTCTGAGCCTTGTGCACTCCCAGGTGAGCGCTGTTTCCCTGTGCAGAGCGTTGAATCCTCTCTCACCTCTGAAAGGAGTACCACCTCTGGCCGGCTGACTCACGGATTCTCACCATTCCCATTCCCCATACTCGAGCTCTTGTTTCATCACCTTCTGTGTGTTCACACTCATTTCTGATGCCACCCCAGTCTTGCCTGGCATTGCCACCCTCTTTTGTAACCCCCCCTTTCTGCTTTGTCTACTACCCAATTAGTTGGTTTGGAAGTATGACCATTTTAGAGCCCACATTAGGCTATCTCACATGACAAGCTTCTTACATCTTTTGCAGGTATTGAGAATTTGTGAGTAAATGAACATTTGTTACATTCTTGCTTTGGAGGATTCAAGGTGTACCATTGCCTGTGTATAATTCTTAGATGACAATTTGCAATACTCTCTCACTTTTTGGTAATTTAGGTTTTCACTGACATCTGAACACAGTTCTAAATAGAAAGTAGCAGTACTTTTCCATGCACTAGCTAATGGCCTCCATTTGGTGATTTAACCCTTCTAGGTTGAGCTTAAGTCTGAAACAACATTGTGACAAAATATTTCAGTTCTCCTACACCCCAAATAAGACAACTGCGGCAATTATTTCTCTGTATTCTCCAGCCATCTTGATTGCTTATTTACGCTGGCTACTGAAGGCCTCTGAAGGTCCTCTGAAGGACTCTTGAGAACAGAGTCACAGGTATGACAGCTTGGAAAAACATCTCTATCCATATTACGTGGCAGACTCATCATATTCTGTTGGCAAACTGATTGCATTCATGCCATTTCAGCTTTCACTGGATTTTTTCCAAAGGGAATTTACAAAGAAAGTATGAAGTGGAAAGAGTCTTTATCTTTCATAAAGAAATTTCCCCCTCCTTTTCAAGATATCCATTCATCTAAAAGGAGAGTTTCGCCTAAGGCAGAGGATTCAAGTGGGGATTGAATTCAGAACAGTGAAAGAGGCTAGCCCTTAATTAATGCAACATTTAGCTAGAACTTCCTTATTGTTGGTCTTATACCCAAAGGTAAAGGACTTAGAGGGGTTCCCAGGGTTATATTGCATTATTAAATAAACTGGTCTCAGACTCTGCCAGAAAATATGCTCATAAATTGAAAAGGTAGGTGTCTAGGAACTGCTGAATAATAAATCTGTTGTCAGTATTAACTTTTAGATAAGTTAAAATTCTAAAATCAGATTCTGAGAATGATAAAAATGGGTAGAAAGTTCTCTTTTGGAAAGTTTGGTATACACTCTTTCAGCCTGGAACAGCAAGTCAAATGCCTGTAGACTGTCTTCAATGAACTTCTAGACTTTGAGTATGGTTAATTTTGGTGCATTTTTATTCATAAGGACTTTTTGTAATAAAGGTTATAAATAAAAAGAAAACAATTTCAATTCTTAGAAATGCTTAATGCAATAAACAAGGGGTAAGGGTTAGTTCATAATACTTTCTACCAAATAGGATGTTACCAAATTTAATCCTTTAATATATTTTAGACACATTAATCTAGGAAAAGGATGTTTTCAAGTTTTTAAGTAAGCTATGTAAGTTATTAGTAAAAAGAGATACACCAACTAGAGCTACATAATAGAACATGAATGTAAAACATGGTCAGAAACCTAAATTGCGAACTAAGTTAATCATTTTCTCTGATTGAATGATTTAATTCCTTTACCTTGTCTTCAAGCCCTGATTTCACCTTGAATCATCCATTGGTGAGGGTTTTCCCTTGACCTTTTTATTAGACTCACTGAATTTCTTATTTCAAATTTTGTTTCAGTTGGACTTCCTTTGGAATTTCCATCTCTTTACTGGATTCTATATTGAATTTCATATGCTGACTTGTCTTCTCTGTTTCATTCAGCTGTCTATGCTTCCTTGTCTGCATTCCAGCATTTCTTCCTATCGTCTTCAAGTCCACTGAAAATACCTATAAGTGCTGTTCTGAACTCACTGTCTTGTGTATCAACTAAGTTGCTTTCCCCAGGGAACATTTTTGGAGGAGACATGTTGTCTTTTGTGTGTGTGCGTGTATGTGCGTGTGTGTGCGTGTGTGTGCGTGTGTATGCGTGTGTGTGCGTGTGTGCGCGTGTGCTGTGTGTTTTCATGACGAGACCCAGTTGATTCTTTTGTTATGGAGATAAAACTTACCACTGTAGAACAGACATTTGGATCTCGATTTACTTTTACCTCGTCATGTCAAGTTTTGTATCAGCTGGATGGTGCTTGCTGCTCATTCCACCTTGGAGTTACTCAGGGCTAATGTGTAGTTGGTATATCAGAAGTTGTCTTGGCTCAGCTACAAGAAAGGTCTAGCCTCTAACCATTGGAATGGACGCCCCCTCCAAACCAAACAGAGCAAACACGTTCATACTGCAGTTCCAAAGTCAGAGGTTGGAATAGCAGAGACAGGCAGAGGAGAGGGTTACCCTTGGAGTACACAGGCTCTCATCTCGGGCTTCAGTTCACAGTTTTATGTCCTGGTGGGTGAAAAGAGGGGAGGACTACCCTGGAATGCACTGGAGGCTTCAGATGCATGACGGCTGCTTTGGGTCATGGAGGGGCCAGTGCTACCTGTGGAATGCACACTTGGCTTCTGTGCGCTGGTCCTCAGATGCCCCAAAAGTGTTATGAACCGAATCCTGGTGGATAAGAACCACAGGAAGTCTTTGGATGTTGAATAATGAAGAAAAAGGTTTCAGTTTCTGGCAATTCCTTTAAATGTAAGTAGGCTGGCTCATATATTCACTTCTGTTTTTTTTTTTTTTTAATGAAAGTTAGAGCCAGTCACAGTCAACTGCAATGCCTCAATGCTAATTTCAAAGTTCCTGTAAGATATTTCCTACAACAACAAAATAAAGCAACAGTAACAGCAGCAGCAACAAATCACTGAGAAATGAACACAAAAGGATAGTCTTCAGATATGGAAAAGAATGAAAAGGAATGAAGAAAAGGTCAATTCAGTTAAAACGTTTATGAAGGGTCATCAGAAGGACCAGCAGGAAAAGGTGCCTGCTGTCAAGCTGACATTAGTTGGATCCCTAGGAACCACTTGGGGAAGGAGGGAACCAACTCCTACAAGCTGTCCTGTCTCTATATGTGTGCTGTAGCACATACGTGTAAGTATGTATATCTATAATGTAAGAATAATTGCATAAATGCATAAATAAATAAACAATAAACAAATAAATGTTGGGCTGGAGAGACGGTTCAGCCGTTAAGAGCACTGACTGCTCTCTAAGAGGACCTGGGTTCAATTTCCCGCACCCAGCGTGGTGGCTCACAATCATCTGTAACTCCAGTTCCAGGAGATCTGATATCCTCTTCCCCGGCACTTGTAGGCACCAGACATGTAAGCAGTACACAGACATACATGCAGGCGACACCCATATACATAAGCATTAAAGTAAATTAAGCTCCAAAGTGTTTGCATAGCCATCTGTTGTTTTTATCATCAACTCTCGTAAGTATTCTCATGAGCTTTATGCTGCGGTCAAAAGAATCTTGAGTTCCTGCTTTTGGGGCGCAAAATTATTCCTTGAAGCTTCCCCCGAAGGGTGCCCCACCCCAGGGAACTGTTAGTTCTGTCTTGGGGTGGGGGAGTGCAGAGATCCGCTGAATCCCGCTTCTCCTCGTCATATACGAGGTATAAGAGACTAGTCTCCCTGCACTTCCTGCTCTAGCTGGCCACCCCGAGGAGCCTCTCTCTGTAGTTATCAGCCTGTGGCTGCTTCTTTCTTACCAGGTTGTTGAGTGCCCCAGAAGCCTCTGTAACAAGTTTTGCCTCTCCGGATGAATTCTTCAGGGAGAGCCAGGAAATTCCCTGTAATGGAGTTGGTCTCAGAGAGGTTTCCTCATCCCTGGTGTCAATAGCGCAAGTCTTCTGGGGCGTAGGGCGCGCTGATGTAAGCATGCGTGGGCACTGCCTTTGCAGCCCACCCTAGCCTTTCTATTTACCTAAATAGCAAATTAGTGTTATTATTGCACCAGGATTAGGTAAGTACCATACTGTCTTTAAGGGTGATCTTTCAATTTCAGCTGGACGATGTTGACGCTACTCTCGGTGACTCTTCAGTGGGATGTCTAGACACTTAACTAACTGAGATAGTCTTTACACAAAGCAGATTTTCTTCTCTGAGCTCACTTTTATCAGAGCAGGGGGTCCTGGATGGTGAAGAGTGATCTGTGACAAAGCTCCTTCCTTTTTTTCTAGGCTCTGGGTACCCTGTCTATATGACAGAAATTGAATTAGGCCCTTACCAAGGACCCTCCAGCTGCCTGGGGAGATGTGCTATAGGGACCACATTTGCATTCATGCCTGTGTTCTTCACCGTGGCTTGTCCTCCCTCCCATTTACCAATTCCAACATGTGAGCATTCGCATGACTTCTGGGGTCAGATGGCTTACCCGCTGTGTCTCGTGGTCCTTTCACTTCTCCTCAATCCTGTGTTGTGCTTTTATTTATGATGAGCGAGAAAGCAGTGCAAACGATTCCAAGTGAAATGGCAATTATAAAGAAAAACTCCACGATAACCATCACCACACACTGAGGGTCTATTTGATTGCTCTGGCTAAGACAGATTAGGCCTAAGACATAGCTGGCTTCTTGGTGTCATCTGTGCTAGGACTGTGGTGAATTGTGTCCGTGAAGGGAGTGGAAAGCATTTTCGGAGACAAAATGCAAAGGTAATGGAGTGGGTTTAAATGTGTTCTGCCTCAACGGAGCAGATGTGCTCTATACACTGTGACAACGGGAAACAGCTTGATCTTGAATACAGATAACCACAGTTTGGGGCTGTCGCACCAACGGATAAAGAGTAAATATTTAAGGAGGAGGTGACTATTCCAATAGCACTTTTGGATCCTTTTTATTCTATTAGCTAAATGGGAGGAAGCAGAGTTTTCTAATAAGAGGTGGGAAGGGTGAGGTTGTTCTGCGCTAACAATGGAGAGACGCCTGGTGGGGAGGGAGCGGTGAACGAGCCACCTTTTGGAGATGGATTAATTCCTTTAGGGCCTTGGGTGCCATTCAGTACATACATTTTTACTCTAATTAACACCCTTGGGTCCAAGAATTAATGCAGGCCAGGAGGGCAGTGGTTTGCTCGCCAGGCATCAAGAGTGCAGGGGCCATTATTATTTCTTCTAATAAAATGTACTCACCCCATGCTTTGATCCTTGCTCAAAGACATTCTCCCCTTCTGAATACTCTCATTAACCCTGGCATCATTACCAAGATTAAGGGCTGAAACACTGTATCATTATCTCCAGTGTTTGAGAGGAAAGGGCTAGCCCTGGGAGGCAGGAATTTGTTCAGACGGTGGTGAGTCCAGAGTGGAAAGAGAGCAGAAATCAGGGCTCCTGATGCTCCTTGTTGGACTCAAAAGAGCCCAGCTGATGAAAGGGAGAATGCCAGAGTCTGACTCCGGGAATCAACAGACTCTCGTGTCAGCTACTCGGCTTCCTTGTAGAGAAAGGTTTTCATTTGATGGATGGAAGAGCCTCCAGGAGTTTCCCCGCCCTCCACTATGATTGAAGAGACTCGCTGCTGCAGTAGCTGCTATCCCCTTACCTTTAGAAAGTCTTACAAACCCACCCTCCAATGGCATTTGAAACGGAATAAAAAGAAACCATATGACTGTATTAGAAAATTTCCAGTTGTGAGATATTCCTTTAGAGAATCTGCTCTCTAAGTAATTGGGTGGGGGACACAAGCCAGCTCCAGAACGTTCGCTCTCCATGATTAAATAGCCAGACCATTCTGTATCTCGTTCACACTAAGGATCTTCACGACTCCAAACAAAGTCTTCATCCCTCCAAATTATGGGGTTTGTCTGAGAGCTGTTCTGTAGGTTAAAACAGATACCCTGTGCCTTCCGTGACAAATTGGTTCCTAGCAGATCCTCATGGGAAGTGGAGTCATAGAAGCAAGTTTCGATTTTCTGTATTTGACAAACGTTTGCAGTTCAAGAGAACAGCAGCTCGCTCCTCTAGCTGTGATGTTCCTCTAAACTGTGATGAACCTGTTGGTTCTGGGGCCTTCGTCAGAGATTATGTACTCAGTAGATCACTGTTAAGGGCCAGCTGGCTCCATTTTTTCCTTTTCCTAGTTAAACATACCGTTAGAATTTGATTTATTTCCATATTGTTCCCTATAGTGTTTGTCTTTACTCTTGTCCTAAGCTAAGGTCAACTTGTGTTTTGTTTTTTACTTGTTCTTCTTCTATAATCTTATTATTCATAATAGGTTTTCTGTCCCTCCCCTATAATAGGTTTCTCCACCAATGCAATAAATCAGATCAAGCCGAATTGAAAAAGTATAAAAACAGGTTTATTTGAGCAAAGCAACTCTTGGGTAGGTTCTCCAGTCCCAGAGATGGTGGTCAGAGAAGCCACACGCCTGAACTAAAGCAGGGAGATTATATAGGTTGTAGGCAAGGGGTAATGATGAGGCCACCACAAGCTGGGTTTGTGTCCAAGTATGATCAAAAGCTGAATACTTTAGGCAGGGGCTTGGGTAGCTGAAACTTCAGGGGAGGAAGCTGCTGTAGCTGCAAGAATGCAGAGCTGGGTTTTTTGGTGCCTTCCCTTTGTTTGGAGACTCTCTGAGTGGGCAGGGTTTGGAGAAACAGGAATGGGGCTTTCCGAATTGGATCATGCAGGGGCAGATAGAGATTCCAGCCCAATAATTTACACATAATAAATTGTTTCCATTATTTCATAGTATGTTTTGAGAACTGGCTATAACTAAGTTAACCGTAAAAACCCAGCTTGCTATGTACCCAGGCTTGAACTGGACTATAAAAAGGCTCCCCTGCTTTTAGTCTTGGCCTGATATAGAAATGAATACTTTGCATTGGTATGGATTCTGGTTTATTGATACAAATTTAAGGTCAGTTTTGTTATAGGTATATTGTGTTTACACAGCTCTTTTAAAAATGTAATATATAATTAAATACAGATTATAGTCACCTATAATAGTCACAAAACTTAGGTTATTTAGGTTGTCTAGACATACCGAGATATATTTCAAGTGGATAGGCAATCTTCAAAATCTTTCAAAGACCTATAGAATTTGGCATTTAAAATAGTTTATTAGGGTTTTTCATGGCAATGAGACACAACTGCTCCTGGCAACACCAGTTACATCAGAGGGGAAGATGGGTATGGAAGAAACTCATTATGGAGTTTGCCTTCAACATGGCAGGAATACCCATTTGGACAAGAAACAGCTCTTGCCTGACTGCTTGACAGTATGTTGTCCAAACTGGACAAGTAGGTTATAAAGAAAAGTGACTGCTGAACTTGACAAGAGACAGGACAGACCTTCACGATTCCTGCTTCACAGAAAAGTCTGCCAGACATTGGGCCTATAGGCTGAAGATGGATGCCCCAATGTTATAGAGAAACTTTGGGTGACTGTCCATGTAGTGAGATGTCTCTGCCAGTTCCAGAGTTTATATGTTATCTTTCTGGGGTCTTTGATGAAGTTGAAGACAGATAGTCATGGTTGCGGCTTTCCTTAGTTGGGATAAAAGATAAATTACACATTTGAAGATGGAGTTCCTGTTCTGCCTGGTCCACAGTCATTTAGTCCCAAATAAATACACAGAGGCTTATATTAGTTATAAACTGTTTGGACAATGGCTCAGGCTTCTTATTGGCCAGCTCTCTCTTAAGTATTAACTCATTTCTATTCATCTAAGTATCTCCTCATAGTCTTGACTTACCGAAGAATTCTCGGTATCCTGTCTTCCTGGCAGCTACATGGTGTCTCTCTGGAGGCTCCCCTCTGCCTTCTCTCCCCAGCATTCTCCTCATCTGGGAGCCCCAACTATACATCCTGCCTGGCTACTGGCCAATCAGTGTTTTTATTCATCAACCAATAAGAGGAACATATATTTGCAGCATACAGACAGCACATCTCCCATCATTGGCCACTTCATTCTCTTACTCCCAAGGAGACTGCAGGTTTGGTCCAGCTGTAAAATAAATTTCTCACCTTGCAGCATTCTGCCTGGTTCTTGACACCATGACAACCATGTTAGAATCAAGTTTCATTTTTAACAAGTGAAGTATTGCCAGTGAGTTTCCCTGGCCCAAAGAAGTGCTAAGAGGGGCCACAGGTACTGAGGGTGCCTCGTCTGGATTCTGTGAGATCTAACAATACTGATGTCTCCTCCTTTTCTTTCTTTCTTTCTTTCTTTCTTTCTTTCTTTCTTTCTTTCTTTCTTTCTTTCTTTTTTTGGTTTTTCAAGACAGGGTTTCTCTGTATTGTTTTGGAGACTGTCCTTGAACTCGCTCTGTAGACCAGGCTGGCCTTGAACTCACAGAGATCTGCCTGCTTCTGCCTCCTGAGTGCTGGGATTAAAGGTAAGCATCACCAACTGTTTCCTCCCTTTAAGTGATGCCCCATCTAAACCTACCAATCACCTGCTGGGATTCCATCCACAAGAAAAGCTGGTTCCCTGAAAGGCAGGCTAAGGACAGGAGGGACCAACTAATTGCCCCTCAGTGAGAGGGCATGCTTGTGTTTCCCAGGAGCTGATCTTTGGGGTAGACGCTGGCAGAACTTCCATCTGACAGCACTGCAAGCCTTTTCCTTCTTTATCATCACTTTTTAGTTTCTGCACTGGCACAAGTTTTTTTTTCTGACACTCTGAGCATTCTTTCTCCGAAGCTTCCTCACCTTCTGCCCCTTGGCTACTTACCAACCCCCATTGCATTGCGGGAGGAAGCACAGCTTTCTCCCCTCCCTCCGCATCTCTCTCCTCTGGTCCTCTGGGTCCAGGCTGAGGTTTACAGCTCTCCCATTCTTGTTTC